ATTAACATCGAATTAACATCGGATTGCCTGGCCCCTAAGGGTGGAACGTAGCACCAAACACGGCCCTAGGATAAGATCAAGGGTAGCTATGTGAGATAAGATCTCTCCTTTTTTGTTTGAAACTTGTTGGTAATTTGTTGTAAATTGTTCATATTTTATTGTAATTTATTGTTTTAAATCATATTGTATTGTTTTAACCTGGCACTTAGTGCCCTGTAAGCCGCCCTGAGCCTTCGGGGTAGGGCGGGGTATAAATTTAAATATAAATAAATAAAATTCTGGAAGGTGACTTTGGTGCAGTGGTTAGGAGCATGGACTCTAATCCCCACTCCTCCGCATGTGGCTGCTGGTGTGACTTTGGGTCAGTCACAAGTTCTCCCAGAGCTGTTATCTCAAGAGCAGTCCTCAAGAGAGCTCTCTCAGCCCCACCTGCCTCACAGGGTGTCCGTTGTGGGGAGGGGAAGGGGAAGGGGATTGTAAGCCGCTCGGAGACTCCGTCGGGTAGTGACGGGCGGGGTATAAATCCAGTCTCTTCTTCTTTGTAAGAAAACCGCTCGCAAGCAGAAAGCGAGCAAATAAAGGTGCCGCTGGACTCGGACTTCGTTTTGCTGCTTCAGACCAGCAAGGCTGCCCGCCTGAATCTATCTGAAGAAGTGTGCCCTTTGCACATGGAAGCTCATACCCAAAATTAAACTTAGTCGGTCTTAAAGGTGCCGCTGGAGTCAGACTTTGTCCTTGATGCTTCAGACCCAACACAGCAACCAACCTGGAGCTACCCTAAGACGATTAGCTATGGGGTTGAACAGAAAAGGGGGGGAGCTTGAGCTGCAGGGGCAGAAACTTGAAGAAGAAGAAGAAGAGATTGGATTTATACCCCGCCCTTCACTTGGAGTCTCAGAGCAGATGACAAACTCCTTTCCCTTCCCCTCCCCACAACAGACACCCTGCGAGGTAGGTGGGGTTGAGAGAACTCTGACACAAACTGCCCTTTCTCAAGGACAGCTGTGCCAGAGCTTGTGACTGACCCAAGGTCACAGCAGCAGGTGCAAGTGGAGGGGTGGGGAATCAAACCCGGTTCTCCCAGATTAGAGTCTGCGCACTCAACCACTACACCAAACTGGCTCTCGAATGCCTTCAATCGCAAACTTGCTTCGGATGCCTTCAATCGCAATATTCAACCATGCAGCCACGACAGTAAGTCCGATCATAAATACCCAAAGGTTTCGGCTCACCTTCAGGGCTTGTGGTTTTGGTGCCGCTGAGCCCGTTCCGACGAGGATCTGCACCGGGTTTCCCAGGGATGCCCTCGGGAGTCAAGCTGAGACTTGTGGGGTCAGAGGTTAGGGGCGTGTTTGGCGGGGTCAGCAAGCAAGAGACGTCGCCCGTGATTGCAGCTGGCTTGGTGCTGGCCTTGCCCTGCTGTGCCTGGTGGTGCACCTGCTGGAGGCTCTCCCGGAGATGCGTCTCGCAGAGGTCGTGATCCCGGGCAGGTCCGTTGGTGCCCGTGACCGCAGGGAGACTCCCTTCCACTCTTGGCTCCGCACAACTCGTAGGCCGCCTGCAGTTCGCCCGGCCGAGGGAGTTTCCCAGTGGTGGCAAAGCCGGTGGAGTCTCTGAAGCTGCACGGGGAGTGGTTTGGCAGCTGACTGCTTCCGTCTACAAGGGGGGGAGACATAAAGACAAGAAGTGGGCACCCGTTTTATTCAGGGGATAGATTTGTTTACTTATAGTTTGGATTTATTTATTTTTTCCCAAGTTTATTTTCCATGTTTTCCATCAACAAATAAAAAAATCAAAAATTCGATTACATTGATTTTTAGAGCTGTTAAGTCAAATTACTTCTCTTAATCAGATTGTTAATTCGTTATTCATTCGTTACATGATTTATCCAATCATATACCCTTAGCCATCTATTATTCTGTATTTTAAAGTCTTTTCCTTGGAGCATAACACTCAAATTATCCATTTGTGCTATTTCTAAAAGTTTTAACATTAAGTCTTCTTTTGAGGGTAATTTGTCTGTCATTCAGTTTTTAGCCACTAATATTCGTGCTGCTGTTGTAATGTATACTAATAGATATGTATTTTGTTTTACATAACCTTTTGAGATCATATTCAATAAAAAGATTTCAGGCATTAACTCAATTTCTTGATTCAATATTTCTGAAATAATTTTGTGTACCATTTTCCAATACCTTTGCATTTTACTGCATTTCCACCACATTTATGAACTGCCCGATCCCTGAGTACTCGGGGCTCTGAGTGATGAAGAAGGGGGGGGGGAGAGTTGGATTCATTCCCCGCCCTTCACTCGGAGTGGCTTACAATCTCCTTTCCCTTCCCCTCCCCACAACAGACACCCTGTGAAGTAAGGCGAGGCTGAGAGAGGTCTTTCCAGAACTGTCCTTGAGAGAACAGCTCTGACAGAACTTGTGACTGACCCAATAGAAATACATATAATAAAAACACGTATCATAATAAAACATTTGTTAAAATCAGGGGTCACTTCTTGCAGGAGCGGAGCTCCAGCAGTAAATAGCCCAGGGGGCGGGCACATGCAACAAGCCCCACCCCCTGCTCCCAGCAGCCCTCAGTCAGAGCAAGAAGCAGCCAGGTAAGTTGCAGAGCCCTCCCCCTGGCCCCCGGCCCAAAACAGTCCAGTGGCACCTTTAAGACCAAGTCTTATTCAGGTACAAGCTCTCTCTCCTCTGCGAGGGCAGATCTGCATGGCCCCCCCCCCCAATAGCTAGCAATCCAAAACAGTCCAGTGGCGCCTGAGCGGTGGGCGTTGCCTTCTGACACACTTCCGGTGATGTCAGGGGGCGTGGCATATGCAAATAAGTTATGCTAATGAGTTATGCTAATGAGCTCCTGCACCTCTTTTTCTACGAAATGACCCCTGGTTAAAACCATTTTTCAAATGGTGCGAATACATCGGATTTCAGACCGTAACATCACCTCAGGGAAAGGCAGGGAGAAAGCATGAAGCTAGGGGGGGGGGAGGGTGCCAGCCAAGACGGAGCCCGTCGCTGCCCTCAACCAAACGCCTGGCGGAACGTCTCTGCCTTACAGGCCCTGCGGAACTGCATCAGGTCCCGCAGGGCACAGATGTTGTTTGGCAGAGAGTTCCACCGGGTGAGAGCCGAGGCTGAGAAACGGACGTCTTTCGGGCCGGGGATCACCAATAAGTTCTTCTCAGCAGAGTGTAAAGCTCTTCGGGGGACACACCGGAGGAGGCGGTCCTTGCAATGGGACGGGAGGGCTTCTGCCACCATGCCAGTCATGCTACCCCCCACACACACACACAAAGCTCGGCTGGAAAGGGTCCATCTGAATCCCATACCAAAAAACTTCCCATAATTCAGAGTGCTAATACAGAGCCAGCAAAAGCTGCAGGAGCCCGTGGGGCTGCCAAAAAGGAGAGCGCTTCTTCTAATTAGGAGCCCAGACTGTAATCTGGGAGAACTGGGTTTGATTCCCCACTCCTCCACATGCAGCTGCTGGTATGACCTTGGGCCAGTCACCAGTTCTCTCGGAGCTGTTCTCTCAGGAGAAGTTTTCAAAAGAGCTCTCTGAGCCCTACCTACCTCACAGGGAGTCTGTTGTGGGGAAGAAGAAGAGACGAAGAGATCG